GGAAAGGGGAAACCCGCGGAGCTCACAAAAACCTGGGGCAGTACCTCCAGTACCCCACGTCTCAAACCCGAATCACAAGCAGCGCCCAGATGCCCCTGAGAAGGCCCCTGGCCCCGAGGGTCAGTAACATCCCCCTCGTCCAGGTCCCGCGGAGCATTTGGGGGAGCAGACCCCTTTCAGCTGCGCACCCCCCGACCTCCCTCCACCCGCGGGTAGGAAGAATTTCGGCGCTGGGGGCAGAGCCCGTCTCTGCACAGCTCCCTGTGCCTCCAGCCACTGCCTCCGCTGGGATCTGCGCGGATGCTGCCTTCCCAGCTGTCAGCCCTGTTGGTTTAATTGGCTCTTTTTCTTCTTTTTCAACCACAAATGACACTTTTGAGAGCAAAGATAGCCGCAAGGATTTTCCCCTAAAAGGAAGGGATTGGTTTCATGTCCAAAGAAGATTACCTCAAAGCCTGCTGTAAGCAATACGGATTTTAAAGCCGTGTCATACCCTTGTAACACCAGGCACCTTTGGGAAGTTTTACCATCCTAGAAAATGAAGCCAAGGACTCAGGGCTACGAACATGACATTAAACAGTGTTACAGCACTACAGCACATCCCAGCCTAGGCTGCACCGCGGCAGTTGGCAGCAAAGTGAACTAACATCATTGGACAGGGTGGTAGTGAAGGGGGTACCATGTTCTCTGCATTACCCAGCCTTGTGAATCACGTGGCAGCTGCTGAGGACAAGCGGATGCTGCCACGGCACATCGATTTCAATAACACGCGATCTAGAAAGCAGAGTAGGCCAGTGACGTCGCGTTCCAGGCTCATGTCAAAGGCCTCTGTCAGTCAAGCAGCCTAAAGAATGGTGATGATGGCTGGGGAACCAAAGTGTGCTGACCACACCGCTCCTCTCTGCGATGGCCCATCTTATCCCTATCCTGACATGCTGCATAGACTTAACTTGGGGTGGTTTAGACATTCAGTCCGTTTACTGACCTCCTGCAGTTTCCTAAGGCATAAAAGCACCAAAATCCAGGGCTACAAAGGATCTCGGAGGCCATCTGCTTGGCTTCCCTCACTGAGGCACAACCAATCAGACCTCCAAATAATCCTATTAAAATATTTCTTGCCTGCCTCTGGTTGTACCTTTGGATTATGGTATCCTGGTTTAGCTCTTCAATAGTGTGGTGTAATATTACATCATTACAACTTCTCATCTTGGCTACTGTTCTCTGGAGTGGAATTTCCTCCAGCCTGACATCCTTCTGGAAACTGAGCTGAACTTGGGATATTCCAGGTAGAGTATGCAGGACTTGAGTAAAGGAGCATTGCTTCCCCCTCTGTGGAAAGTGATGCTTTTGTGCTTGCAACTCTTCACTCCTTGCTTATCATTATGTCATACCTAATTGCTGCATCTCTCATTTACCACACAAGGACTGTTTCAACACTTAATCTTCCAAGAGGAATCTTTCTTTGTGCACACACGCATTTTTTAGCACTTTCTAACAATGTTAGTCAGATTTTTTTTCCACCCATGTGTTCTAGGGATGTGCCTGTGGGAAATTCCACTTAGATAATGTGTCCTTCTCAAATCAAATTGTATTGAGGGTGTAGCCACACAAGCAAATTACTGTGAGGAAGATGAAGGTGCAGATCCACAGCGTGCCAGCTGCTCTGTGTCACTGCCTGCTCTGCTTTCATTAAGGAATAAGCAGCCTCTGCCAGTGCCCGTTTGCAGCTGGCAGGCACGTGTATCCAGGCAGTTTCTAGAGAACAGAACAAGTACCTCACTTGAGAGGGTGCTGAACACCAAGCCATTCCTTACACAATTCCTAATTTTGTCCATGCCTTGGTTTGCTTCCCCAGTTTGACTGTTCGCAGCAGCTCCTTTCTGGATTGCTTCGTTATGCATTGAGGGCTCAGTCAGGGCTTTGTTTCCTTTCCCAAGCAGAGCACAAGAGAGGTCAGAGAACTCAGCTGGGCACTGGGAGATGGTTTTCAGAAAGAAATAAAGCGGCTGCCCTTGCCTTTTGCAGATGCTTTTCTTAAGATGCTCTGGCTCAGAGCCCTGCGCCGCCACTATCCAAATCTGCCATGTGCGACTCCTGGCATCCGTGCTAGCATTTGCAGAATTCTGCACTGCAGTTCCCTTTTACCCTTACTCCCTAAGTACAGCAGTCCTGGATATAAGCAGAAATTCCATATGCACGTCACCACTTGATACAGCTCACTGGCTTTAGCTTTAAACCACCGAGACACTTGAACTGTGGGAAGAAGCTGGTGCTAGAACCAAAGGGATTTTGAAGAAAATTCAGTCTCAGCAGTGATTGGAGAAATTAATACTTAAAAGAAGGATGATAAAACAATCTGACAGTTTCCTTTTATTTATGAGTTAAGGGGGAAAATGTTTTTTCTCTTTGTTTGAAGGTAAAAAATAACAGGCTTTTTCTCTTTGTTTGAAGGTAAAAAATAACAGGCTTTCAAGCCTCCATGAAATGCTTTTATACATTCTCTTTTGCAATTGATGACTTTGTCAGGTTCAGGTCGATGAGCAGGTCAAGCTCACTGGGACACTGTCCTGTTGGTATGACACTGTGGAAAACAGAAAGGCTGAAACTTTCTGTTCCATCCTAAATGGGATGCAATAGTGATTCTTTGAGCAACACCGCTCACCTCACCCACTGCAGTGAGTTTGTTGTCACCCCTGTAGGTGGTAGGACCTGGGCTGGGAAGGAAGGTCAAACCAGTTACGTTCCAGTATACAGATATTTAATGTAATAGAAGCAGGTTTGTGAGGAGAAGTAGAGTAAGATGGATACAACTCGAATAAACTGAAAAGCTCAGGGTCCTTCTGTCAGCTCTCAAATACAGAAGCAAAATCCAAGATACCTATCGTTTAACTAAAATCAAGCTGAATGTGTGCAGTAATGAAAAAAATCAGCTCAGTTCAAAGAAAAGGATGTAGAACCTCCCTGAAAGACAACACTCATGGGCCAGAATGGCTCCTTTGCATGAAATATTTTTCTACTGGCAACTGGGGTTTTGTTTTCTACTTTTTAGAGTAACGTGCTGGAGAGAACCTGTACCACTCACACCTATCTGCAAACCTTCACATTCTTTCCTCTGCTGGTACAACTATGGTGAAGAGTAAATTCGCACACGCACACCCCTGCCAGCTCGGCAGGCAGATGCATTCAGTAAGGCAACAGAAACATCACTATGCAATCCACTTAGAATTCACAGCACAAAAAAATTCTTCCCTTACATTAACCTCGATTAAGACCTCTCTTATCTCATATTTTGAGGATGTAAATGAGATGAGCAACACAGAAATTTTCAGTGACTACGCTGAACTGGGTGCCCACCATGCAGAGCAAAGATGAAGTATCAGTTTAGGATCAAGACAAAGCCTGCAGTTAACAATAACAAATTCAGGTCACCAAAACAGTTGTACAATCACGGTACTCTGTGCAACACCTGAAATGAGACTGTCAGTGACAAGTTAATAACCCACCTCATTTCCATCACTTCCCTTCTGCTTTCTTCGTATTTCTCTTTCCACTCAGATACTTCTCTTTCCTTGGCCACAATCTGAAACAAAGAAAGCAAAGGCAAAAAAAAAAATAAATAAATAAAATAAATCAGTAAACCCAAGCGATCCATTAAGGAGGAAGTTAAATAACGCTACAGTATTTAATGTCAAATCCTAATTAACAGAGGTATAGTTTTCAAGTGAATAAAGGGTTCAAATAAGCATCCCCAGGGATTTTTTTCTTTTTCAGAGTACAAGGTGCAATTAAAAAAATTTGGATGTGAAATCATACTAAAGTTTTGAAAAACTAACTTCGGAAAGCAGATGCAATGTTCTTGTTTCAGTTTTCATTCCACACTTTTCAGGGAATACTGTATTACACTACACCGTGCCTGATTTGACCTGGTGCCATACCTGAAATAATTCTGTACGTGGGCTTGGAACACAGTCCCCTGATTTGTCCTCTGAGGGGGTTCTACTGCTTCTGCATATCCATGAAATTTTATATCCTAAGAACTGTGTTCCTTTGTGCTCTTTTTGGCCACATAAAGCTTGGAACACTCTAACATTTGTATCTATTTATTAATTGTTATTATTAGGCAGGTTAATCTCATATGTAGCTTTGCAAAATACATAATTTTATTCCTATTTCCAGCATCTTACCATTTTTATATAATTATATAGCAATGTCAAGGTGCAGAGAGTACACTTGAGGTTGAAACCAATGAAGATTGATTTTCTTATGTCTGCTTTTCACTTAGGTCAAAAAGGCAAAACTTACAGCCTAGCACCTTTTGCTTTGGTAGCCTCTAGTGCGGCTCTAGCCTGGCTGAGGATGGTTTCAAGAACAGAACAAGTGTTCGTAACATGAATCATTTGAGAGAAAACAGGAAAGAAGGAAACCACAAGGGGCACGTATTTCCTTTTCCAAATTCTGAAGAAAATTACCTCTGCTCTGGCGAGCCGTAGTGCAGAGTCTAAGTCTTGCTGGGGGTAGAGAAGGCCCGTGGTGCTTTCTGCATCTGAGGCGCCGATCCGGGAGTACAGTGCACTTTTAGAGATGGAAACATCTGCTGGGATAGCAGGTTCTCTCTGTGTGTTTGTTTTTTTAAATACAAAGAAATGAACCATTAAATATGTGTTTAGCTCATATGTTTTCTGGCTGTAGTGCTAGGCACCAGTGTCCTGAGCTAGGACTACTGATTATAACAGCAGTGACACTGACAAGGAACTTGGAATTTAGCCATCATAAAATATACATTTAAGATCCCTAGTAATCACCATGAGATCCATATTACCCTTATAGGGACACAACAAAGACAGCACTTTCCCACCAGTGTTTTAAGGTCCTGTATTAGAAAATCTACTACTTTCTGATGCAGAAATTTCATCAAAACATCCGCAAGAAATACATGTGAGCAGAGGGAATTAGAATTGAAGGCAGAGAGCTTGTTAAGAGGAATTCTGCTTCCATCAGAATAGATCAAACAAGCAGAAGCAAGAGGCCAGCCCACGTTCTTGGGTCTGACCTGCCAACATACTGCAGCTTTAAATGGTATTACATAAGAAGTGTGAATATACGAGTGACGATGCTGCCCCACTGGTATTTAGCATGCGATTAGTAAGTTAAATGAGGTTTTATTTGCAGCTGCCAATTTTGCTCATGTCAGCAGTCCAGATGAATGCAGGAGGAGAGCAGCACTGAAATGAGGAAAAGAGCAAAGAAGAGGTACGTGACGCCGAGATGCATGAGATGTCTTGCAAGCAGCCCTAGACACAAACAATCCCAACCGCAGCGCATTAAAAACAAGATTATAAAATACAGTTAGGAAGATCCTAAACAAAATAAACCTCCAGATTTATAGACATCACCTGTAGCAACCCCCCTGCAGCAGACCTACCACCGCAGCCTACGTCCCTGTCCCCCCCACCTACGCTCTGCACCTCACCATCAGCCAGTTAACGTGCCCACGCCTGGACGGTCTGGGGAACTAAATGTTCTTTCTCTCAGCTGCTGGCGGGTCATAAAATAATTTTGGGGGTGGATGTGACTATAACCCTGTTGCTGGGGTTTAATGTTCCACTCCTCTGTTACATGTGCACGAAACTGGCCAAAGGAATCGGGGTTAGTGGGGCTGGGGAGGAGAGGGGCAGAAGTACAGACACCACGGCCATCACCAAAACTCTGCTTCCTTGCAACACTGGGCTAAAGCAGGCTGGAGAAGCAAAATGTCACCAAAAAAGTTAAAATTCACTTTTTTTTTTTAAGCGGAAATCCTTCCATCAGAAGAATTTTCATAGGAAAGATCCTGTATCTGAGTGCAACTGAAATTCCTTGAATTTCGGTACCCAAGGAGATACTTCACATGGTACAGAACATGCAAACACACCGACTTCAGCGTGGAGGACACAGACCCCCGAAATCCCTTTCGCCGTGCATGTACACACGGCACCTGCCAAGCCACTGTCAAACCTGCATTTTAAAATATGGATAGACTTTTTTTTCCCTTTTTAATTTAACTTGCAGGTTCAGTAGAAGAATTTTTCAGTGGGCTCCCACAATTAAAACTGCCTCTGTTACAACGTGACGTGTTGTGACACAGAGGACTGGACCACGGCTCACGGTTTGTGCGGGTGGGGAGGGAAGTCAGGGCAATCCGCACATTTTTCCACCCACTGATGGAAATGGATAGTCACATACAGCTTTCCTGGCACAGCACTTGCTGCTGAAAAGTGGAGAACATATTTTTCCAGTTTATTTGTTACATGTGTGCATAAAGCAACATATTCTGATGCTTCCCGTTCCCTAAAGCAGTACGTTAGGCGTTGGGATATGTATCTTAATATATATTAAGAGTAGTCATAGAGAAATTTTTTTTGTGAGGTTTTTACATACAAGAGAGAAAAAGAACTTATTTTATTGTATAAGTGGGATGCTTTTATAGTTATTTTCTGGGTTTTGGGGGTTGTTTTTTTTTTTAATAGAACAGCAGAGTCATATTCTACTGCTTGAAGCATAGAAATGTGAAAGTGAGATGCTGTGTGAATCGAGGGTTCAGTCCTCCTCTCCACCAACATACACACAAACAGACCTCACTCATTTCAACAGCACACGCTCTTGTTTTGACACAATTAAAGAAAATCTTGTCAGATGCTATTCCATAAATCATTCCCTTGCTCGGAGTTCTTCTCGCATAGCCTAGAACAGAAAGGGTCCAAAACCACTTAAGTTTTTTGCAATCCTTTCTGAGTTCTTACACCAGGCCTTATTGAGGAAGCTATTTTAAAAATTGCATACAGTGCTCACTTGAGATAAACACAGGACTAGATGTTCTGGATATCACATCTGTAGACAATGTGAAGAAACCACACCAGCAACATTAAAAGACTAAGCAAGAAAATTTAATTAGAGCAAGAATAAGCTAACCAGTAATTTCAAAACACCATACCCCATCTTTACTTATATAAGGGACTCTCACTGATTTCCTGTGTGTTCTTTGTTAATTTTTAAACATGACAGTCAATCGACTATTACTTTTAGCACCTAGGGAGCCAACCATCCCTTCTCTTTTTTGCTACATCTAGCCATTAACACAAAAAATAATGATCAGTTGCAACATAACTAGATGTACAAACTCCTATCTGGTGAATTGTCCTACCTAAGCAAGAAGTATCACAGCATTTATCAGAATTACATAGCTTGTATTCTTGAAAGTATCTCCCAATATACAGCAACTACGCAGGAAAAAGGACATCTGGGACACAAGCTCAGACATCTACGTAAATGCATAAATACAAAAACACATGGTGCTGTCCACAGATCTGAGTGAAGGTAAAACAGCCAATAAATAAACCTACTGCTGGCTCAACTCAGCACCCTAACTTCAAAACAAATGCACTTCAGGTCCTCCTGAACACACAAGGCAAGAAAAATTAAGAGATCAAAAAGAGCTATTAGATCATCAAAGCTCCTCAAAAGAAAGGCCATCCTGAAGATCAGTCCCTCGCACAGTCTGTATCATATTTCAAAAGCCTCCTGCAGCTTCATTTGCTGGATCTCATGAAGAGATTGCTGGAAAATATTAATTGTGGCAAAAGAAATTCCCTTAAGCTCATAAAAAAAAGTGTATCAAAGTAACTGCCAGTACGAGGAAAAATTTTAAGGAACAATGAACATTTAAAGCATTTAATACATACTTATCTATATTTTAATATAATGCTCAACACCTCACTAATATAATTATGTTTTCTCTAGCTCTCTCTTGCATTTGAGTAAATTGTACAAAAGAATAGTAATAATGACATGGAAAACAAGTTAAAATTAAAAAAAAAAACCAACCCAAAACCAACTGTAAAACCTCTTGGAATTTAACTATTGAGCAGAAATGCCTGTGGTAGAGGTCCGACCAGTCCTGTCCTAACTGGAAACACTTCACACGAGTCACAACTGGGCTCTCTCTTTGGCTGGAGCTACCAGTAACAGTCCTCTTGGGTTTATGTGAAAAAACAATTTTACACATCTTCAAACTGATTTACAATTCGGTAACTGTCATTTGCTGCCTCCAAATATTCCTATACTGAGAAAATACTATAACCTGACCAACAGGACGGCGGTATTACCCAAAATAACCCTGCCAATGCTTTGAGTTCAACACCTAACTCCTGGGAAAGTAAGCAGTTAATTGGGGTAATAATAAGTGTAGGGATTTGTAAGTCACTGAACCTCGCACAGAGAGATTAGAGTCTGCAGGGGAATTACTACTGAATGTAGGTCACTGCAGTCTTAGTGTAAATATTTGAGAGCCCAACGCACTTCCTAGCGCCTTCCGCAGAAACCAGCTATCTGACAGAAAGGGAATAAATGCACGCTGATTAAGCAGCTCAGTCATCTCGCTTCAGGAATCTCCAAGTGAAAGAAAATAGAGAAAGGCACTGCAATGAAAACGAAAACTGGTTTTTATCATACTGTTTAGAGGAATATGTATTTAGCCCTCCTGAAAATCAGCTTGCCCTTTACAGGCACTCAAAGACTGCTTGGGTGCTCTCTTAACTAACTGATGTCTGTGCAGCCAGGTCAATGGAGGCAAAACAAGACTTTTTTGTGCTTGCAAGTGTGTTGAAAAGCAAGTGAAATCCAAGTGTAAGTCCTCTGCTTGCAAGTTTTACCAGAAAAATGGTATTCCTGTTTGAAGGAAATATTTCCCCTTCACTACCATGAGAGCCTCCCAAAGCTGTGATGCACTAATCCCATTTGGGCCGATGACTTGCCTTACATTTTCTCGCCTTTCCTTGGATCTTATTTCAACACTCAACTCTACGTCGCCTCAGAATCTGTAGGGTGGTGGGCCCAAACCTTATCGGCCGTGAGCAGGGAC